CAGAGGGCAGGACCGAATTGAAATATTTCTCTACGCCATGATTAAATAAAGTTGACCGCCCCTACCCCATCTAGGGTATGAGGACTTTAGGTGGCGGCGAAAGGACACACGGCTGATGAGAAATGCTTTCCGCACAGTAAAGTACGGTATCCGTGCTCAGTGAGTCTAGCTATAGCTTCATACAAGTTTTCAGCACATTTTTTGCTTTGAGATGCTTTGGCGCAGGTGCCTGACCGAGGTGCCAGGCGTCTTCGAACCGAGAGGTATTCGTGTTCGGAGGATCAATTGCTCCAGAGGGCTCAATTCCAGGTCACTTTCTACTAGTTCATAACTTGCGATTAAAAATCGAGATGCCAACGACAACTAGTCATACCGAAGGAAGTGTGAGAAAGCGTCGACTACCTTCCAAAACCAGTGTCTCGCTACTACTTCATTTTACTAACTACTGCTACTAGCCCTAACCATGGCACTTCTGGGCGATGCCTAGAAAGTTGCGAAAGAGAGCCTTCCTTCGTAACCCGGCTCCTCCTCGAAACCTACGCAGGTTTACCCTCAGACTGCAGCCCTGTGAAAAAGTGGCCGGACGTTGAAAGACACACTCTCCAACTTGCCGAAATAGTGAGCTTCGCGTAAGACCGCAACAAGCGAACGGAAACAGCGAAGCCACGAGGGCGAGGGGGGGGCGGGGGGGGAGGAGGGGGAGGAGGGTAGAGGCAGATGTCGCGCCGAAACAGAAAAAAAAATTGAAGCTCATAAAAAAGTTTTTCATAGGACAAATACGACTCTCCTTCCTTCCTGCGACAGCACCAAAATATGGACTCTCGACTTGGGGCATGACAGCAATTAATGTACCCTTGTTTACAAAGCTTTTCGGCCCAACCGCGAATTTTCCCCAGATTTTGAGGGTGCCTGCTGACGAGCGTGGGGAAGAGGGGGGGGGGCAGCACCCAACGTGCCTGGAATGTTATTAATGTTGAAAACAACAACAACAGCCAAGAAATCGTCTCAATATAATTTGCGTTATTAAGCGCTTTACTTGCAAGAACGAGTGATAGCAATCAAAAAAATGACTTAGAGTTACTTATTAACACAAAATTGAAGCAATCACTCGTAAGCTGAACATACAGCACGTGACCCGAAATTGTAATTGGAAATAAAATTAATAATTAAAGATTATTATAGAAAAGAAGAGAAAAAGAGAGGAAGTAAGTAAATGAACTAGCTTTGATTACACGGGGGGATGATGAGATGAAAATGATGACATAGAATCACGTGACCTATATATATTATAGATATTATAACCGATCTATGAAATATTCAGTACAAAGAGTAGCAACATATAATACTACAAAGTAATAAAACGACGATGAATCAAGCGCGGAAAGGGTGCAGAGATTTGTTGAGTGGTGTGAATTAGTGAGGGAGTTTGACCTCATTGAACCAGTAATACTACTCTTTGACTTATCAGTGAATATTAACAAGCACATGCAATATATCAACAGTTATTAACAACAATAGGTCGTTACCAGCACACATACCTATGATACATTACTCGAAAGATTGTAGTGAGATCATTATGGGGAGACCTTGGAGGCTAACTAACTTGCCGTCCTAAAGGGTGAAAATATCTGAGAACATCTGAATATGGCAGTGATGAGAGTAAAGAGTTCGCATGGTGATGAGCTTACGAAGGAGTTCTGAACCTCACTACTAAACACTGGTTCGTCCCAGTTACTGGATTTCAGGCGGCTGTGAACTTGGTGGAGACCAGCTCTTTCTGGAAAAAAGTTTGATTATTAGCCTGCTTGTCGACAGCGATTGAAATCCTGTAGGCGGAGACAGTCGACCATGGTGCCTTCCTCACTGGCAAGCATCCCTCCGACCGTGTTTGGAGAAGAAATCCAATAATGGGGAAGGCGAAATGGCTGGCTCTATCTGCCCACACAATCAGTGCGTGCTGTGTCTTTGAGTACAACAAAATTTTTTTAGGTTTTCGATAATTTTGTAAGCATTATGAAGTACTCGTAATCATTAGAAGCTACAATTTGAGTCAGCAAAGAGTTAAGTATTGATAGCCTTCGAAATTCGTTCGAGAGTACAGAAACCGTGACTTATCGGCGTTAGAATAGGAAATTAAGTAAAAAAGGGAATCGAAATAGGAAAACCCTCTAGGTGGGTCAAGCGACTGGAGCTACCACGTACGCCGAAACTAACTTGGTGCAAGCGGAATTCCCCAATCAGGTGAGGCGATTTACTGTAGTAATTTCGGCCGCTAAGGACCGCTCACTATGCAAGGGGGAGGAGGGAGTTACACATACGGAAGCATCCAAGCCTTACGTCCCTCTGGCGCGGGCACTTTGGTACCAGACGTGGGGAGAAAACGATAACCTATACGTCGACTGAAACCTCCGATCACTGCACAAGAAAAACCGCTTGTCAAAATCACTTCGAGTTAACACGTACCAGTAAAATGGAAGGCGGAATTATTTCTGGAGGGTCCCTTATATGAGATCCTCTTTTTGTAGTGGATTCTGTGCATTGGTCAAGCGAGTGGAGAGGTGACAAAACACTGGGCGTGTGGAGGAGGGCCCAGACAAACGCGGGCGAGAGCAATACAACCGCGCACATTACAAGAGAAAGTGAAAATGTCGATGGAGCGTTGCACAGGGCAGATGTGCGCTTGGTGATTGTTCAGCCCTAATGTGAGCGAACCACGGGTAAACACCACGGGCACCTCTTACCGTCCTTGGAAAGCACTTTGTAGTGGCAAAGGTGGCATTCCCTATGCGGCTGCATAGCTTGACACTTCATTTCTTCCCTCAGGCAATCACTAATCGTGCCTTCAGCGAGCTGCTGCAGAGGTGAATGTTCTCAAATCAGAAGCAGCCGTAAAGAAAACTCGCCCCAGTTCGAAAAAGTAGCCTGCTGATTACGGACGTTATGGGCTCGTCATTGGACTGCATACTTTTTCAATGCGCCTGACTGACTTCAATATCACAATACTTTTTCTCTTCCTCCGTATTTTGTTTAGTAGAGGCGCAGCACAAATGGGCCAAGTTTGTTGGTCGTTTCTCCGAAATATGCGTTCTTAATCCGTAAGACTTGAGAGTATATCATCTTTTTTCCTTTGTTACAGGTAAAAACTTCTTTGCGAGCAGTTGTCCGGCCAATAAAAATGCCTAGCTCTCCGAAGGAACAGCCATTTTCTTTTACCAGCGGCGAACTAAAAACCCTGAAGCAATAGCGAGTGAAAGAGGGACTGGGAAAAAGGGACCCCTGAATTTGCTCACATCGCAAAATCAGAAGTACTGGGTCGGCCCATAAGTAATGGCGTTTTTTTTCTCACTCAAAAATCAAAAATTTTGCTAAAGATCAAAAGTTTTGCCATTAGGTTTTATATTCTTTTCCGGAGAAGTCCTCGCCCTATACAACAGTCCACTAAGGTTTTGTTTAGAGTTTCTCTTCCCACTAATATTTAAGTGCTCAAACTGGAGTGCCAGGTCAACGAAATTGAGCATTTTCGACAGCCTCCCTACTTCACCTCTAATTAAAAAGCTGAAACCCGCACAGATCCTAGTTGCTAAGTATATGGCCATGAGACTGCGTCTCTTAGGAATGCTTCAAGATGTTATACCCGATTCGAAGACCTCAATTTTGACCTCATAGACAAGCATCGAACCTAATGGCCCTATTGAATCCAACTGAAAGTTCACTGAATTACCTTATTTATGGAGATTCACGCCGAAGATTGAGGAATCCTTATAAAGTCATGGAATCTTACGTTGATGCATTAGTCAAGCACCACCCGTGGTTGATGTTAGACGTTCAAAGTTAGGGGGTACGTTCGGCAGGCAGTCGCTTCCCAAGGGGGCGCCCCATGCGATTCACATTTACAAGGTCCGAACTGCCACCTCTTGATCGCTCGAACCAATTCAAGCTGTCATGAGAAGCGTCACTCCTTGGCCATATATTTCACAAGTTTTGAGCTTTTTCTGCCATTCGAGAGCCGAGAAAAAGTGCAAAAAGCTGTTGTCGAAAACTCACTTCTACTCGACTTTTCATTTCAATGGAATAAAAATCGGCAAAAATCAAGAAACAGTGAGAGAGCAGCCATACTGTTTTATAGAGCAGAAAATTATCTATCAAACGATGTAGAACATTTTGGGAAAAATATCATTTTCCATATGAAAATTTGCGTGAGAAAAAAACGCCATTACTTATGGGCCAACCCAATAGTACATAATTCAACCGCCGCTGACCAATTATACAGGAATGCACGTCCTCCCATAGTCCAAAAGCAGGCTAATGCAATCACAGTGACTCTCATAGCTGGCGCTACACAGGTTCCAGTCTTTTTCCAGGGCCAGTGTGGGGTATACATAAAGCGGTAAGCCGGCTCGTAGCTAGGAGGAGCAGAAGAGCCGGCAGAGCAACCCTGAAAGCGACCTTTCTGCTTTCCCTCGTTTCACACCCTATAATCGAAGGTAAAAACTAGTAGAGAGTCAGTACTAATCACCCAATTCTAAGCCTCCCAGTTACAGTAGGAAAGCTGCAGGATTCCATGATCACCTTGACTTGATTTTGCCCGGTACTACAGAGAAAAGAAGATAAAACAGGTGTCGATGTACTTCGTTAAGGGGCACTGATGATTTATGTAGAGTTATTACCCCAAAAGGCAGTCTGGGCGTGTCAGCGCAACTTACGACTCGCGTGAGATCATTTCCCACCACTAATTGAACGCCGGAAGGTGCTACGTTCTATAGAAAACGGGCTGCGGTTGCGCCAACACCCACACAGCGCTGACACGCCCCGACTGACTTCAGTGACAAGGACTATAAAGGTAAGAGAATTTTACACTATGCAGGCTCAAAAAGGCTGCTCTATAGTGAAGGTATTCCGGAAACCTCGAGTTCATTTCCCTTCAACATAAGGCTAGTGCTATAGAATGATGAAAAAAGTATGAACGATAGTCGAAGGGTTGATTACCATCGAAATGTCCTTTAACAAAATAAAACGGAATGCACACCAACCTCAACCTTCTTCATTGATGCCCGATTCCGAACATTTGACGTCAAGCACATAGGAATCCTATTCTTCAACAATAACATGTACGGGTCGCTGGAAATGGTGTGTATCGATTACCATATAGTTTGACATTACTGTCAGTCACCTTTACTTTTTAGTAACACCGTGCTTATTCGGTAAAGAACTCACACTTGACGCATTCCAGATGTAAGGCACGTGTAATAATTTTTAATAATCCTATCTGTGAGAAGTGCGTCTGGTGGAAGGCAAATCAGAGCTTGTGCCGAATTTAACGTCACCATTGACGCCAACAGTAACCCATACTGCCACCTAAAATTTTATAGATTAGCATGTACAGTGAAAAAAATTCAACAAAAATTTTTTGGCTTACACGTCAGTTGCGCTGGAGCAGTTTTCATCATTTATTGACGTTTCAGGTGGTAACAGATTCTGTGGAGAGTGTACGCGCCCACATTTCACACGGGCTACAGAAGCCCAACCTAATAAAAATGGGTAATAGCATGAAATAGTTCTCAGACAGAACTCAATCAATGAATATTCTCGAGAATACTGCGATATTCCAAAATACTTACAAAAATCGCCAAGTTTCACAGTCTGATCACATGGAATATCTAATGGATCACTGTAATCTGATGCTAAATAGATGTTTTCCACTGTGACATGTGAATGTGTACAGCCTTGTTCGTGAAGAAATATCTGCAACAACACAAACAATAAATAATAAACCGAAGCAAAAAGACTATAGTACAGAAATAAGTAACAAAAGCAGAAGCAGACAGACGGTCGTGAGGTGGACTATTCGCGACCATGAGGGCAGGACCCATCGCAACCGCATGCGTCCGGTATAGTCCACCAACATGCGGTTGCGATGGGTCCTGCCCTCATGGTCGCGAACTTGTGCTTTCGCATATGTTATTGAATCTTTACTTTATTTTCATGACGTATTGTCATCATAGTGATAGCTAAGCAGAATGTGCAGGTCCATACAAGGATGCGACGCAGCAGCGCGCAACCTTCATTGAATAAACCAAAGTCAAGCGAACTCCGTGGAAAGTTTATCATCACACGTTTCTTCATTTTTTCACTTTTTTTACATAATACCCAACGAAAATCTCTTGCTATAAGTAAGAACCTACTCAAGAGCAATGAGTGCAGTATTACAGTCCACATTTTCATTTTAAATTCACCACTTTTTGAACCAAAATCACCCTTTCAGGTCAAATACACCCCTTTTTGGAACTAAAGTAACCACAGTTTCACACCGGGCAGTTGATCAAGCAAATCGCGCTAGACACCACCGCAAACCTCCCCCCCCCTCCCCCCGACAGCCACGCCTACTTTTCAGAGCGGTCATGGGTTTTTCTAGCTTCACTTCGCAACCTCTGTTCTTGTAATTTGAAGAGCGGTAGATTTGGTTTGAAAGTAGTGAATTTGGTTCGAAGTGGTGAATCTGATGTGAAAATGGTATTGAATGGAAACCAAACGGATGGCGCATACCATAACGGGATTGACCAATACGTGGAGCTTCAACACAGTTACGGATAAATCACAGCCGCTCATGTTTCTCGGTACTTTTAAGCAAGTAGTCAATTTATATGTAGTACCCTATTTTCTGGAGTATAGGGTGCCCAAGCAGTGCGCCTTATACTCCAGAAAAGGGGATTATTTTTTATATCTCCGAGCCCTACAGTCGGAGATACTTCGCTACAGAGATACTGAAGCGGCTGCTAATCAAGGTCAAGCTTGAATTTATACTGACAACCCTTCGGCGTGAAGTCAACGATATTCACGTCTTTCAAGGACGCGTTTGTCGTAGCTGGTCTATTAGCGCTCAAGGGTACTGTAGCTCGTCAGTGAGTCAGTAAATCAAAGCCTGTCAAGCTCAGTAGACGGTCTTCAGCTCTATCATCAATTAGCAAGACCGGAATGCGGAAATGAATCACAGCAAAACGGAGGACCTGGGATAAGAGCTCACAGATATTTCTATCCAGTCAGTCTGATATGGACTTAAAGTAGTAGTTGCGCTACTTACTGAACAAGCCCCGGACATGACTCAGTGACTACTCCCTTGCTTTCTTGTTCCAATCAAAGAAACAAAAAAACATAAGAAAACCTTGTGCAAAAAAGAAAAGATAGAAAAGGTACTGACCAATGCTCGAGCAATACTCAAAGCAAACTGATGGAGATGATAGGCTAAGGAGTGCACTTTGTAATCTAAAGATGGCGTATCAAATGAAGATCTGGAAGAAAACAAGATAAGCAGCTGATTTTTCAAAGTAAACAAAAACTCTTGAGGAAAGAAACCAAATTAAAAAGTACCCATGAGCAAGAGCTTTTCTAGCGTCATCGAGAAAAATCGCCAATGATCCACCACTACATGGCTCGAACAGCAATGACAGTACCTTAAATAAATTATTTATTCACATGAAACAAGTACTCCAGTAAATGGCAGGACCACTAGGAAAGGACTTGCATGAGAGGATATGAGCGGCGCTTTCGATGAAATCTGAGCAGCTTCAGTTGAAGAAAGAATCAGTAGGAAAAAATTCTGTTCATTTAGCCTAACAAGTGGAGGCGAATGTGGTGTAGTGGCAGGTGGGATGCTTACAACGTGCAAGGCCCGAGGTCGTATCGCGGATCGGCTCACCCCCACGCCAACCAAGTCTTCTACATTCCGGGGACGGTAAATTGGTACAAGATTCGTCTGTGGAGGTAAGTAAATGGCTGTACACATTCATATCGGCCCTCCCCGTGAATCACTGTATAAACTACATCCTATTCTGTACGCCACTATGATTTAGAATGGAAGTGGAGTGCGTGCCGCATCTCAAAAAGGGATTGATTAACGACGAAGACTTTATCCTATGAACTTCTTCTAACCCAATAAGCGATTTGTCGTTATTGTTTAGCAATTTTCCGTTCATTTTCATTTCATTTGTTGGATCAATCTTCGGTGCCGACTGACCTCCGTGCTTGCACCCCCTTTCTATCTCACGATTAAATACGACCCCCTCGTCGTGATTTACACAACGATACCCTGTGTATCCAAGACCCCCACATCCATGCATCTTCCTTTCGTGGTAACACTCAATTTGTTCTCTCTCATAATACCAACACCACTTGAAAAAAAAACAAAACTCCATGGGGTAACCAAAGAGTAACGCGGAAGAAAGACTATATTATGACGTGATAACAAGAAGCGTAAACAAAAGAATTTTACAAAGCTAAGAGTTCTCTAACCTGTCCGCTACAAACACCGACACCCAACCACCTGACGAGATTCGGGTGATTCACTGAGACATGATTCAGAATTTTGTACTCCCGCCGGAGAAGCCCTATGCCCTCTGAAAAAGAAAAAAATATTTTTAAGCACCCGAATCCTCAAAGAGCTTCCATAGAAGTATAATCGTGTGGCTCACGCTGTGTGTATTTAATGGCGAATGTCTGCTCAGTAGTTGACAGAATCACGTGCTTCGTAGTCCATAACGAAAACGCAGACCTTCTCACTCGTCGAGTCACTATTAAGCGATCATGTGGCACTCTGTAAATGTAAAATCGACTTTTATTATTTTGCCGATTTGTGCTGCTAGTTAGTAAATGAGTAACGCTATCAATCGATATGTTTCATATGTAGTAATACGTACGCTAAGGTGTTTGGCTTGGTATTGGGTAAGGAGGTAATAACGGCAGCAGCAAGGCATTTTCCAGTACAGGTTCCTGCTTGGCATGGCTGAAAAGATATGATAAACTCCTACTGAAACTAGTCAAGCATCCTAGTTAGTTGGAACGGCATGTTCGAGTATTTCGGACCAGTTCGACGAACAAGATAGTATAAGCTACGATGCGTCTCATGATTGTACTTCCACCTATGATCGTTTAAAAAAAGTGCATTCAAAACTATTTCCGAAAAAATTCTTGGCACTATGTACTGTAGTCAGGGGGCGAGGGGGTGACCATCCAACCGCTCCTCTATATCCTTTCCAAAAGAAGTCTTAGGTGAGAACGCAGGCAATCAGAGTTGCAAGCAGGGTAGAGCATCGTTATGTGTAAATGACATCAGCACGACCCCTCCCGCTCCCGGAAAAGAATTCCTTCACGACCCCTCCCCTTTCCAGCTCTAATTGTTTGCTCTGACGAGAAGGATTAGATACGTAACGACTCGCAAGCGCTTGCGGCCGCGTTATGATTCCATGGCAAATTAGCGGTGGAGCAGATCTGTTGGCCGGTAGAAATCGCGGAGCTCTTTTCTGGGGGTGGTAGCTTTTTGAGGTAAGGGGCCCTTGAGAGACAGAAGGCGGCATGTTGAAGCAATGTCTCTACTGTTGCGTTTTCTACCTACTCGCAATCTGAATCTTCCCCCGTTCGTGAAATATTTCGGATGGGTTACGGACGCGTTAGTGGTAAATCGCGAGCGGGTTTTTATGCTTCAGACGAGAATAACTCCTTTCAAGCGCAATTTTTTATCTTTTGCGAAACTAAAAACGCCATTGGGACGCCCAATACTACCTTTCTCCACTAAGTCTATAGCCTTCCTGAAGAACCTCCCACTTCAGAAGGTACTTGAGAAGGGTCGAGCTTGGGCGACATTCTGAGCCACTCAAAAGCTCGACTCCTTCTGTGCCATTGTAAGGATACTCATTCGCGAACTTCAATATGCCTTCAAAACACATATTCCCGTTGAACTGAGTCAAAGCATAATTTGTTATCATTGATCGAATTGGTCCGAGTGTGCGCCGTGCATTACGCTTTTACGCGGAGGTGGAGGTGTGACTTCTAAGGATAGTGAGTGAAGTTTGTGTCCATGCAAGCTGGTTTTTGTTTAGGATTTGGAAAAGTCGATATGCACAAATCTGTTTTAGATATATTATTTAGTCATCTACGTACTTACGAGTTTGCTGACTACTGATATTGCTAATCAATTGTTCGAATATTTTGTTGTCTTCCATCGTGGTCCTCTGCTGCTTTCCGTCCGCTCCATGAAACATACCTTTGTGCTGTTTGGTGCACCCACCCTGCGTTTACGAACGCCCCCGCCCCCCTTCACAGCGTCTATAATTTTCTGAGAACCCTCCAGAGACTGTACGGCCGCTGGGTTATAGTCCATACAATCTCTACGCTAGGAGCGCTGCCCATCTGCAGAATCCATGAAAGGCAGCCTTTACGCCAGCTGAAATTGAGAGCTTAGAATGCTGCCTGCGGTTGGACACGACTCGACAGAGTCAGGAACGAGGACGCAGAGCGGTCATACAGACGGCTCCGATCCAGCTGAAGGCACGAGAGCAGCGACTGCGATGGTATGGGACGTACTGAGAGCCGGAAGACCACCCAATAAGGAAGCCATTGGAATAGGAATCAACCAGGTCAACTTGTCGGTAAAAGTCCTATCTGGGTGGGAATGTCTGGCTGGCACACCGGCGACTCTTGGAAGTTTTTCTATTCTCTCTGTTCTTTCACTGCTTTCACATTGGGTGGTTTTAAACATCTAATCAGAGGGACCTCGTCCAAAATCGTTTTCTGGAAGAGTGGAACATCCCCTGGTCATTATTCTCATTAACAGCATAATCGGGTCCTGCTCCACCCCCCCCCCCACCCTCCCAAGAATCGAAGAAATCTGATCTCTTGTCACATACACTTCTCTTTTGCAGCCCCGCTTCTCCCAAAAACCCTGATTGGCATTGAAAGTACCATCTTCGAAGGAGTGATCTGTCTTTGACTGCTTTCTAAAATAAAAAAAAACTCTAATGAGTCAAAGGAGTTACATTATGTGTGAGCTTTGGTGTGCCAATCGTATCATACTCGGTATCGTCAGTCGTTGGAGTAATAGGAAGCACCTTGAAGCAGTCGTCGCCATCAGACGTTTCCATTGTGGAATTCTTTAAGAAAGAAGACTTGTGCAGCTCTTCAACACTTTCAAGTTTACCACTTACTGCTTTCACAATAGGAGTCGAATTCACTGGTGTTTCGCTGTCGTCACTAAAGGATAATCGGACCATGTTCAAAGTTCGCGTGGGACATTGATCTTTCAGTACTGAAACGTGACTATAAATTCGAAAAAATGGACTTGAAACAAACAACCGCATTAACCCTTGCCTTCACAAAATAAAAATTAAATTGGGAAATTGTTACCCATTACTAGCGCATAGGATTCGAGGCGAAGACGGCGTAGTGGAGAGTGGCGCCGCTCATCAGTCACGTGGTTCAGGGGTTGAGTCCCGGGCCGGTCCCACCCGGTACAAACAATCATTCACCCCTACAGGTATACCAACTGGTAGGAGACGTGTATGGGAGCATAAAGACGTTGAACTCTATATTGACTTGCCCCTACACGTCGTCTTATGGGCGAAATCGTAGTCAGTGTTATCATCCTGGATAGAAGCAAGGTACATGGCGCACCTAGAAAAGATATTGTTCTACGCCGGTGTTTTTTATTTTTGCTGCGGATGAAGGGGCGTCTCGGTGCGGCTGGGTTTGGACACCGCCAACCGTTCCCCACCACTTCGAGCGGGTGGGTGACAGTAGCTAGAGGAGAGCGACTGATACAATTTTTATAATATAGCCATGCCGCTTGTCTAGAAAAAAAAAAGAAAAACGGGCTGGCTTCACGCTGAACCCATGTCACTTTGACACGCCCCATCATCCGCAGCGAACAAAACTGTACTGGCACGTAGTTTTGTAAATCTAGACATTATTGCTTTCCACTGAGCATAGCGCACTAATCGTGTTACTTTGTGGCCAAAATTCGAATCCTCAAAGCTGTGACCGATTTCCCTTACGGCCCCCCGCCTTCATTTTTATTGATTTGTAAGCGTTCCACGGTCAAATTCTACGATTACCAATGCTTTCTTTCCTGCGGAACGTCACTATATAACCTTACTAACTTCACCAAACTCGCAATAAGCAAACGAGCCCGGTAGAGCAGGCTGGTATCCTAGAGATGGGCAAATGCAGGATTTTTGTCCTCCAATACTGCAGTGTGGTATTTTCCGGCTTTCCCTATGACCATCCCAAGCAATAATAGCTAAAATCCTATGAAAATAAAAAGCCAAAATATTCATTCACATACCGTATTTCTTTGTGGCTCCGACCACAGAGGTCGAGGTGGTCCTTGTGATCGTTAGAGCAGGTGATGGAGGGCTGATACTTCGCTTGATCGTTTTCCACTCACGACGATCTCTTATACGGCAAGCAACCAGCCCACCGGATACAGTCACGAATGACGTCAGAACTATCAACGACAAAATAATCTAAAACATTAAAGATCAGTTACCACTTCATGCACAGTTCTACAAATGTTCGAACTTCCTCACCACGCCAGCATTCCATCCATCGGCTGATAAGAGCATTTGGTACTTTTCTTCGAATCGAATCACCTGGGCTTTAGTAGTGGTACTTCGTCGATTACGTGAATCAACTACAGTAATTTCAATACCATAATTACAATGCTCGTTGGGAACGTAGAGAACAACCGAACGATGAGTCTGAAATATGTACGAAATTCACTGGAGCCGGACGGACACTTCTCACGAAATAACGCTTTTCCTAAAATGGTCCAGCACTGGAGCGAGCGGTTGCGGGCGACTGATCTGATTACTTACTTCGCGACAGAACAACAACTGATTGCTGTCATATCGCAGAAAAATGCTATGGAGGCAGATAAAATTGACTTCAGAAAAACTAAGCCCATTAATGGGGAGCAAACAGCTGTCCCTCACGCAGCAAGTTTTGCTTGACGTTCTGCGACCGCACGCGTCACCTACATGCAATTGAGCAGCTACCAGCTGTCAGCTGAATAGCTACTTTGGAAATTTGGAGAGCATTTTATAAGTACCTCAGCTTATAGGATTTCATTGTGACCGTACATTTTGCACTGTACTCAAAGGCTTGATCCTATACTATCAAAGCTAAAAAATACAGATCTTTCTTGGAAGTAGCTAAATGACCGTGTGGGTATCTGATGGACAAACGTATTCATTTACTACAGGAAAGTACTATTGGTCATGAGTCAAGTGAATTCGCAGCAGAAAATTTTTTTTCCAATGTTGTCCTCTAAACGACAATATTTTGAATCACAAAGTCTGTATCAAGGTCTTAAACATAAAACACTAAATGAATTCAACCAAATATAAACTACTTGTCTACTACAAATAGCAGTCAGGAAAGATCAGACTCACCCATGTCACGACCCGTCGTTGTACGTCCAAGAACTGGCATTGGTACTGCGTTGGTGTGACAAGTGGGTTGATGGCGATGTCGAAGTGTACCATACGAGGAAAAGATGTCACAGCAGAGACCAATGAGTCACGGCGTTCTACACGAGAACCTGAAAAGAAGCAGCGGATTCGATTGAAAGAGCACGGAGAGTTCCCTGGTTCATCAGTGATCAAGCATAATTGCCTATTTGCCAAGGAATGGAAGACCAGGTTGGTTGGACACATCATGCGACATCATCTCGTGATGACCCTTGGACCAGAGCGCTTACCGAAAAGATCGTTTGGGATTTGAAAAGAACACTGGAATGGCCATCTATGGAATGGTCAGACTCCATCAGGAAAGCTCTTCAAGAAGGGAATGTATCGCTCGATGTTCTTCAAGCTTGCAGAATCGACTGACTACTCTGGCTCACAATGAGGACAAATGCAGACGTTCCTGGCGTTATCTCAAAGAACAAAACGAGCGACGGATGGGACAAAAGTGGCATGTATGAATAACTGAGCCATTCTCTATCAAAACGCACTCACGTTCACGCATGGAGCTGTTTAGGGAGGTCGCCATGGATGCTGTGAGAATCGTTACGGTTAGCCAGCCAAAAAATCAGAAGTTCTAAGGAAGATAGTCCGCTTTGGCCTGAAAGACTAGGCCAGAGCGTACTATCTTCCTCCGAACTTCTGCCTGATTATTAATATTTCCCGTTTCACGCGCTCGACACGGTTTTATTGGGACTGAGTAGAACTGCGTTCATCCTTCGCGACGACGCACGAGGAAGCGCGAGGACGCGCTACAGTCCTATTCTACTCAACTTCCGCGTTTCTCTACCTTTTCCCCTTTACTATTTAAACCCTTTTTCATAGCAGCTTCCTCTCATTTCATTCAGATTCCAAAGTGTCTTCATGTATCTCACGATAGTACACCATTTCCACTTTTTCGCTTATCAAACAGCTGCTCCATTTATAGAGCCGAATTCACTCCTTGAAAAGATCACTACTCCCCCCAGGTGAATTCAACACACTCTTTCAAGACAAGCCCTAGTGTTGGAGATAATTCTTGGTGAATACGATCCCCCATACTCTGTCGAAAAAAGTCTTCCAGACCAAAGCGGACTCTCTTTTTACACATTATACACCACTGCAGGCAATGTTCCGAAAAACACACCCATTTTTCAGCGCGATCATGGTTTTTCAAATTTATTTTGAAACTTCCGCTTTCAGAAAATATTTTGTGAGTTCTGCATTTGCACTTTCGCTACTTCACAGATATGAAGCTTTGGTGACCCTCCTTGGAAACCTGAAAGTCCGTCTAACTGTTTTTATCGCCTTCTTGGCGAGCCACCTTCTATAAGAAGCCCGTCCTAATTGTGCGCTACGTTCATTCTGTTGAGCAACCACAGTGTACATAGCGCTGATCAACAAAAAGGTTTACTCGACATGCATGTCCGTGCTACTAAGCAGTCCATTAGCGGTAAAAATCTTTCCGTTGAGCGATAATTGCCACGATTTTTTTAGGACTCGTGGTCCGTGAGTAAGTTCTACCCTTATCGGCGTCTCCAAACCTAACATTCTTGGCCTACAAAAGAAGAGAGAAATGGGTTGAGAAAAGAATCTATTCTGTAAAGTTTGGAAATCTATGGAGTCGAGTGCGCCATGCATAAGACCAACATTAAAAATGTTGGAGCAGGCTAAATAAGAAGACAATGGTGCTTGAATAGAACATGTTCAGCCCGGCTGTTGTCCTTCCAGAAAAGTTCAACAACTTTAGCATTTTGGAGGACACTCGATGAAGTCCTGACAGATCACTGCAAGTTAGAGCAGAAGACCTATGTGACGAACCCTTGAGGTAAGTGCCAGTCTTCGCCGGGAAGAAACGGTTGTCATAGGACTGATTAATTAGGCAACAGAGAGACTAATGGGCACTATTTACCCATTACTGCCCCAGCCATCCGAAATCAGGCCAGTTCCTGACCGACTTTTTTCTCCGTGGGTAGAATTTGCTGAAAACTTGACTCCAGAGGTAGTTCGTCCCGCTGAGCACGAATATCGCATCCGCTTGACGCTAAACCTCCTGGCGCCCGCACCACGGGCACCGGCGCCAAAATACCCCAAATCATTGGCGCCTGTGGCGCGGGCGCCAGGAAGTTTCGGGCTGAGCGAATGTGATATTCGTATTCTGGAGGTCAAACTACCCCAGGAGACAACATTTGAGCAAAATCTGCCATCAAACTACCCCAGGAGACAACATTTGAGCAAAATCTGCCCACGGAGAAAAAAGTCGGTCAGGAACTGGCCTGATTTCGGATGACTGGGGCAGTAAAGGGTAAATAGTGCCGACTAATGTTAACATACAAGAGCCTGATAACTGAGGTCCAGGATTCGAGTTTCGGCTACGGTCAAGTTTTCCTATTACTTCATAATACAACACAGTTCCAAGAGTGACAGAGGCACCGAGCTTTGAAAGGCTGTAAAGAAATAAATAAGCTAAAAATGGGATGAATTTTACTATCTTGTAAAGTAAAGTAAAGTAAGTTAAAGTAGTAAAGTATAAAGTAAAGGGTTGTGTTTCAATAAAAAAAGCTTCAGGGGCTCTACTCTTATTAAATAGAAGATGGGTTTCTGAGAAAATGAACTTCAGAGGCATGAATGGTCTGATTCTGGATCTTGCGTCTGTGATCTCTTCTTTGGTAGAGTATAATTAAGGTCAATTACTGTAAATCTTACCGTCTTCTACCATTTGACTGAGCGATCCGTAGGTCCACGACAATACGATCCGATTTCCTTCATTCTCACTCGAATTCCATATCCATGAGATCTCACTCACTGGCGGAGGTGCTGAAAGCGCCAGATACTTCCTGTGATTACCGTAATTCGTTTGCTAATAGCTCTGATCCTTCTGGTCATTAAGCAAAACCCTCGCCCACTACTGACCCCTTAGAACCTTCAAAACAAACTTCCTCCACCCTCCCACCTCCTCTTAAACCACCTGGATTTTCGAAAAAAAAACTCTTAAACCACGAGAATTATTACACTGAAAATAGAAAAGGCCCAATTTTATTCCAAATTTTCCATATTATTCGGTTTATACGAGCCCCAGTAGTCAAGCCGAAGACCCCTTCCCACAGCAGCTTAATGCGACTCCATGGTTGGATACTCCCGGCCAACCCCATGGTCTGCTTATGAAATCTTTAAATAGGGTGACTCAAACGGCTCAATGGTCTCTGTGGCTTCGTAACCTCGCCTCCCTTCATTTGTTTTACGATGCATTTGGAACACAACTCACTCTCAAACAGCTATTAAACACCGTAGTCAATCCAGCCAGCACTGACTGATGGATGTGAGTTAAGTGAGAAGGGACAAGATCGAACTCACTGATAAAGGAACACCCGAAATGCTGCTAGAACACACACAAAGCGGCGCCGGCACGAGAAAAACGTTCCAAATACGACCATATTCACATCTAATGCTTTCACTGCGAGTATGACTTCTACCCAAGAGAAGAGCTACTACTCACTTTGAAAACTATGTGAAATCCATAAAGAAACCCCTATTCCAGCAGATTGACTTCATAGACGTGTCCTCCTGAACCACTTTTTTTGTTGTGAGCCAAACCCTCTACCAGTCACTCGACTCGTTTTCAGAAGGTTCCAGATGTAGGGAGTATTACCAGAGGCAGAAGTCACCTTGAGAAATCCAATCTAGGTCAACATGAACCTAATTAATTAATTTCATGAATTAGTACCCTTGACGACTCCTCCATCTGTTATTGCGTACACCTCTTATAGCCCAATAGCAAAATGGACTCAGTCCTTCTAACCACGTCACTTTTCTGGTTTTTCCGACACTCTCTCAATTGCATGGAGTTCCATGACCACTGTGGCCTCACACGTTTCAGCTCCTTGCAAATGAAAAATGGCTCATCCAATCGGGTGCTCCTTCCCTTGGAAAAAAGACCCTGCTCTGGTTCGCCACATGTTTTTTGCATCTTTTGATGCTCTGGCAGCCGCTGTCAGCTGGCTGTATGCATACAGGTTTTGCAACAGGCCCATGACCAAAAGGCCAAAGGTCATGTACAACAGCACTGCTAGCTGCTAAATATGAAAAGAGCTGCTTAATGACCGGAATTCGGAGCGCGGAATCTGAAAGACGGAACTCTTCTTGTGTTTTCCGCTCGTTTGTGACAAAGCTACTATAGGAAGGTTCAAACTCACCACATAGGGCTGGATCATGTACCAGTTTTAAGCACTGTGGAGTACGAAATTCATGCGAAGAATAGGCGGTGCTGACAGCACCGATACGCCATAAGCGTAACGTGTACGGATGGTCAAACGCTAATCGATCGATAAGAAAACCACGGGAACGGTCCTGAACAAGTTCTTTCACTACCAGTAATGGACTACATATAATAGCTGAGACCAATATATAACCTAGTGCCCAGGCTTATAATAGTACATGCTCTTATCTGTGAAGTTTCATCGAGGAAGTGCTCAGCGAATCTTGTACAAGCCACCTTGCGAGTAGTTGAAAATTCCTGGGACAAAAATGGCTCATCTGCACCATTTTGCGGCTTCACTTTGGTTTACAGGACTCACCAAAGGGAAAAAGCAAAATGTCCCAACACTCGTTACTCCACTCAAGAAAGCGGCTAACGCGGCGATTTGATTAGTGGCCGTTATCGTCTGTGATTGGTGATCGCGATCAATCCGCCATTTACAGGCGTCAGCTGCACACAATGTTGCAATAATGCATAATGCAGCTTCGCGGTTTTAGTAGATATTCAGGCACATCTCAGCAGATTTAGTTGGTTTTCAACTGTTTATTTTTGAACTGGATCAGGAACGTCAAAAACGATGAATCTAAATCGTGGACCGTTACGCCCCAGTCGCGACTGCTGCGACCAGATAGGCTCCGCCAAAGAGGTGACGCACGCAGCATTCGCACCAGGACCTAATCCACTCATTGTAGCAGTGCAGCGGCGCGTAGAACCTCTTGTCCTTCACTGCGTTCGCATCTCTTGATCGATTAGCTTCTCTGTTATTCTGTTTTGTCAACCATCTTGATGTGCTAGTGAAGGAGAAGCCGCGACTCGGAAGTAATGCTCCACACCCAGAAATTGCATTGCCGTAGACTGTCTCATAGTCGCTTTCGTTGACAAAAAGCTCTTTACCATGCCCAAGTTTGACCGTTTTGAAGTACTAAAGAGGCAGTACCACATTAGCTCTGTCTCACTTGAAGGCACATTTCGCGTGTAAAGAACGAGCCCAACCCACCCTCTAGCAGGTAATCGGGACCACAAAAAAAGAAATGATAAGGCGTTCTATGCCTCAATATCGACAGAAATTGGAGGGCAAGTTCATCACTCAGGCCCACGAGGACCACGCCGACGAGTTGCCAAACTACGTGAGACGTCGCGGTGTGCGCTCTCCCGTCTCTCTCACGCGCGCCATGTCTCTCCTCATCTCATACGGGTTCACTGCACGAAATTGGAAGAGAACTAATTCAGGAGATTCCCGACTGCGTTTTTCTGCTTACTGCTTCAACACCGAGCTACTTAGCAGCTCCGCAATCGTATTTGACTCCACACCGCGATTTGTACTTGTGTAATAGGCCTTCAGAAGGTACTTGAAATTCAGCCGGGATACTCGTCGGATAGCTCGTCAATATTGTATGACTACAGGGTGCAGCCCATTCCTCCAGTAATGGTTCCAAAGTTGTTAAAAACCTTCTCACATAATCAAAAGAACTCTGCCCAGTTTTGGATAATTTTTCGATTTTTCGGTATCACTAATTCATATTACAATTACGAATTACCATCACTATTTAATTACTATTACACGTAGTAGTTCACTAACCATAACAAATTCCATGCGTTGTTCAACACCCATATGTGAATTATAGGTAAGAACTAGTGAACATGAAGAAATCTGAGCTGACTTGAAAGCAACCCGTACTGCCGCCAGTTCGTCCTTCCACATCTAAACAATCTGCAACATTTTCGGAATTCTTTACTGGTAAATAAAAGTTGCAGTGGACCTCATCAGCGACAACCATTTTTATGTGGTTCCCTCCAGCCAGCTGTTCTTCCGTGTACCATTTAGAGCTCATCAAATGCCCCATTAGTCCACTGCCATTAAATGACGACACACGAAATTGTATGGAGGAATTCGCTACATCAACAACACCGAAAAAATCCACGTACGATGTGTAGGACTGAAAAAAATTGGGAAATGAACTTGGAGCGATTCCTCGCAAAGCAATTGGAAATAATTGTTTGGTCCTAGAGTCTTGCACTGAATTTTGCACTTTTTCAAGTATTCACGCCATTATTTTACATGGATGTCAATAAAAAAAACAACGAGCACCATAATCACCATGTATATCCAATAACTATGACTAGACTATAATTCTGGAACTCTAGAACTCCAAATCGAATTAAATTCAATTGGTTCATTTGATTCAACTGGAACGGACCAAGTGCCCCCCCCCAACACAAAGAGAAAATAAAAAAATCCATCCATCACTTTATTGCTCAGAGTTATAAGTTACGTCTAACAAAGAAAGATTGAAAGAAGAGAGATCGTTAGATGAAAAGAGCTGAACCTACGATGACCAAGTAATGGTCCTGCACTTGCATCTGTATATGGAGGGGGGCGGGGGAGGGGGAAGTCGCAAAAATAAATCCAATCTAGCTTGAAAATTGGGTACCGCCAGATTATTCAGTAGGAGGAATTAAAAAGCACATTAGTCCTCGCGAAGGACCGATTGCATCAGGCAAAACTGCTGTCAACACTATGCCCTTCCGAAGGCCACCTTCCCTCTTTCCCTAGAGACTCCTGGATCCTATTGAAATCCGAACGGATTCGTCACTCATCGCCCATCTTCTCATCTTCCAATCTTTCTATCCACAGGTTTTCCCCCAGATTCCGGTTGACGGCCAGCCGTTGTAGGAGGTATGGGGAGAATTTCAGTTGATGCCAATCTTTCCATTTCTCTGCCTAACAGATCTAACACGACTTCCCTTTGAGGATTCCACGACCGACAGCGTGGCCTATTCGCACAAGTTCCAGTTTGTTACATTTGCAATAGGAAAAATTTGCAACTAATGTCAACCCCTCCACCTCCATATACCATTCCCACTCCTCTTGCGGTAGAAAGTGACGCACTTTGAGGGTTACTTGACTGAAGTTCAAAACGGCTCCATTAGGAAAAATGTTCAATACAAGCATACAGATTTGTGAAGCATATCAATATAGCTGAATAGGCAAAAAAAAACTAGAAAGGGTAAAGTCTTCGCCATTGATCTGTCCCTTCTTATGGTGCGGCGCGCATTCTACTTCCATTCAGAATCGTAGTGGCTTATTGAATGCGATGTGGCCTATACAATGACTTGCGGGGCCAGCCGATGTACAAGTCAGTGGTTCTTATCCTTCCCACACGAAACTGGCACCAATTCATTATTTTTTTGGTCCCTGGAGGGCAAGAAGTCGCGGGTGGGTGCCGAGCCAGGATTATTTGGCCCATGTCCGAGAGCAGGGTAAGTGAGCCGCTTGACGCTATATCGTCTCCAACTGTATAAAAACTGAGAAATAAAAGGTGAGGTATAGTAATGGCAGAATAATATTTTCGAAATGATCCAGAAAAAAAAACCATTACTCGGAAAGAGTTCGGTTTGAAATGTCAGCGATAAGGATACTGACAGAATGAACTCCTGGAATATCAAATATTATATCTAGAGTATCAACTTCAGGGAGACTTTATATATCCCAGGGGATCGGTAGCCCATGATAAATTTGGCAACCTCAAACCACTTAATCGAGTACTCTACTAAACAGAGCCAACCATAACTCATTTGACCAAACGCGACTTCTTAGCGAGTTTCTTGAATATGTAACTAAGTAAGTAAGGAAGTAAGTAGGAATGTTGGTTATTTAGTTAGACCGAAAAACTTCCTGAATTCAGATCAAATACCACTGTTCTCCCCATCAACTCAATAAGACCCCTCCCTTCCCCCTTGCTAGCCTGCCAGCAATGCTGTCCCTGTATCGGCGGTACAAGATTACGTTTCAGTGCCCCTCAATATGACCAATGCGAATAACTCCGTTCTCCTCTTCAGTAACTTACTATTATCTTCCCCTGATCGTTTTGTCATGCTCACTCCCAATCTCTGTCAGTCACCATAATCCCAGGCTTTTTCTGACTAGGAACATCTGCGGAGTTGATATAACACGAATCGGCTAAGTATAGGGATTGGCGACGTCAAGGTATTAACGATGAGGTGACTCGTTTTGTTATCACCCGAAATGACATGACAAATCCATGGCGTTTAACATTTGTTTGCCAAAGGCTAATCCCTCTTGAGTCCCACGCAGCAAAGTGCTTCTTCTGGTCGCCGCCGCCATTGCCGCTGCAGCCCTCTTCTCCTCTTTCTCGTCCTTTTCCAAGCTACTGCTCCTGTCGCCGCGTCGGTCCACACACTACATCGTGGGAAATGCAACCCTCGCAATCTATTGCTCATAATGGCTAACTGGTCTCATTCAGCGAAGTCAAATCAGAGCGTGGGACAAAATCATGTGGCGGAATTCTCAGCCACTAGACGACAATCTGAAATAATAGAACCGATTGCGCCGACTGGACCCATGTTAGCTTGTGGTGGAAGCTCACTGGCAATCAGAGAGCGCTCAATCCGTGATCATGCTCGACAATTTTCCATCGTACAGGGAATTGTACCCAAATGATAAAGGAATTGATCAGATTTGACTGGAAGGACACCCCATCATGACTAGCGGCGAATCTCACCAAAAAAACCGCAAGCGAAACGGTGAACGCAAAAGCGCTTTTGCTCCTCCCTAGAATTTCCTGACAGAGATCCTGTGTTGCTGTAGAACCCTCTGCCCATCCTGCGCTCTCGGACATCAGTTCCTGCTCCCACACTGGTAATCATCCAAGGTAATCCTCAAGATGAGGTTTTCATAAGTTTGGGACACGTTCAGGGCAAAACGGTACTTGCAAGATGTTGGATTTACGCAGTCAGGCAACTTCATTGAAGAGACCATGCTAAAAAGTGCGGGCATAGAAATAGTTGTCCTTCCTTTAAAAAGTTAGTTGAAAGAGTATAGAGTAATAAGCATTAAAATTTCCTATCAAATCTAACCCCTCACATTAACCTCAGCTCGAAAGCCCAAAACATCTCTCGAATTTCCTCTGAAACTTCCAAAACAACCTTTCGGGAAACGACCACCTCTAGAGATGCCCTCTCCCCGCACTAGGAGTGAAGGGAAGAAAAACATGAAGTTTTTACTAGCCGATAGCTATAAAAAGTCCAAAAATGGATTCATTGAAAAGAAAGAATGCAAAGGTCACGTGAATTTAAGGGATCAAATTGAACTTGCTGAAAAAAAA